CCTTGGCTTCCCCCCTCCCTCTTTCCTCTGGCTCGAGCGGCGTCGCGCCAGTATTCCCTGGCGACACCTGACGGGTCGGGGTCGCCCTGGGGTCTGCGGCAGCGCTTCGGGGGAACGCCAGGGGGGACTGGCTCAGGGGGGGAAACACCGAGCCGCAACTGGCGATGCATCGCCGATGGATCAGCGATAGGCCCCCGAGAGCGAGTCCTCACGCTCCTGGGCGGGGTTTGGGCCGTCGGGCCCCTACAGTGGATGCCCATGCCAAGAAACACCCTGCTTGCCTCTAGGGTGCTCTGGGTCTCTTGGGTTTCCATGGTTTTGCGATGGAAAGCGTGACGTTCCCGCACCAAAAATCAGGGTCTCAGGGTTGGGCTTTTTGTGGAAGGTTTCTTGTGGACGGGCGTCCAGCCGTCTCTTTACACTTGCGTCTGTAGTCCGGCGATTGCAGACCAGAGGATACATTCACCTTGTGTGGTTGCGAGAAGATGCTTTGTGGACAAAAAATGGACGGGCGTCCACTGTGCTGGCGATGCATGGGCGCCTGGGGTGTCGGCGCATCCCCCCCTCTGAGCCCATCCCCTCGCGGCTTTCGTGCCCCTCCCCCCCCCCAGTTTGCTTCACTTTGCTCTCGGGCGCCGCAGCCCTCCCCTCCCCTCCGCGCCCCTTCCCTGCCGCTCGCGCCCAGCTCCCCGCCCTGGCTCCTGCGCCCCCCCCCTGTGGGCCACCCCGCTCCTCCTTCGACGGCTGCGCGGGCGCTCACCGGCGCGCCTCTGCCGCTCTCGCCCGGTCCCCCGTCCTCGCCCCTGCCCGACCCTGCCCCCGCGTCCTCGGCCCTGTCCGATCTCCGCCGTGCCCCTCCCGCAGATCCGACGCCTCCACGAGAACGGGAGCGGCCGGTCTGGGGCCTCTTTCGGCCTCCGCGGGCCCTCGCCGGGCCCCGGGGCCTTCAACAAACGGCTCGGGGCGAAAAGCCGGCCCCAGGGAAGTGGTCCAGACCTCCAGGGCTCTCGCAGAGAGACATGTGGAGCGGCCGGAGGTCTGGGCTCCGCCCTGTCCCCTCCCGTGCCCTCCTCAGTTGGCCCGCTGCTCCTGCTTCGACGGCGGCTCGGCCGCTTTTGGGCGCATCGTTCCATCCCGTGCGCTGTGACGTCTCGCTATCGTCCGACCCGCCCTGGACCCCCACCGCCCTCCAGCTCTCCTACCAGATGCGGCCTTCGGGCTGTCAGCCACTGCTGGCGCCTGTTTTTTTTCCACGTTGCGTGGTAGCTGCTTGGCCAAGCATCTGGGAGCGTGGCTGCATCGGGGTTCCAGGCGGCCGCGGGGGATCGGGAAAGAATCAACTGAGATCTTGAAGCCATTCGTGCTGCCAGCGCTGGTTGCTGCCACTGGTCACCTTCCTGGCCGCCGCGCCACGCCAGCCGTGGTTTCGGCTGACCAGTGGTACGTAGCCAATGCTGGCCCCTGCTTTACCGCCTCTAGTCCCACAAGGCTTGGTTACCGCCAGCGTTGGTTGCTGCCAGTATCCCCCACTAGCCCTCATGTGGCCCGCCAGTCCTGTCCGCTGCCGACGCTGGCTGCTGCCACAAGCCGCTGCTTCAAGGCACGAGCCCAGAGTGGTCCACCCGTCACGGGCTTCAACCCACCATTGGGCGTCCGAACTACCGCCCCGGTGCGTTAGATTTGATGCTTCCATCTCTTTCATGTCTCGTGGTGCTCCGACTGAGGCCCCAGTGGGTCCATTCTCAGACTACCAATCCCAGGTTTTGACCACCCGTAGTAAGCGCTGACTACGGCAACTGATCGAAATTGACAGACGGCGGTTCACCCTTTGCACATTTGACCTTCTATATTGGGTCCCCATTTGCGGCCACGTTGGGAGCGCCCATTCACGGCGCATGTGCAGCCACATTCACATTTGATCCGATTAGGCGCTGTTTGGTAGGCCTCCGTTCCCGCTTCTAGCGGCAAAAATCGTCCCATGCCCTTCAGGAAAACGTACGCGTTTGGCATGTTCATTTTTTGTCCCACCTGCGTCCCAGGCGGCCCCAAGTGGCCCTCGAGAGCGCCCCAAGGCCGCCGAAGAGGAGCCCAAGACGACCAAGAAAGCCAAGATGGCGCCAAGACGGCCCAAAGGGTGCCCAAGGCGGCCCAAAGAGGCCCAAAAGAGGCCCCCCCAGCGCCCCCCTAGCGGCCTTCCGTTCGCCTTCGGCGCCAAGGTGGCCTCCAGAGGCCCCCAGAGTCCCCCAAAAAACCTTCAAGAAGCCCACAAGAGGTCTCCAATGGACGCCCAAGTGGCCCTCACGAGTCTCCCGAGCGGCCCCCGTAGAGACTACAGGATATTTCTTGCACGCCTCAAATCGAAGATTCCCCGATTCCAAAGGGTATGCAAACACTTTCCCTCTCACTCCTCCTTCTCCGCTGTCTCCTCCTCCTCCTCCTGCTCCTCCTCCTCCTCTTCCTCCTCCTTTTCCTCCTCCTCCTCCTCCTCCTCCTCCTCCTTACGCCTCCCCCCTCAACACCTGTTTCCTATCTCACTTCGCATCCTCTCTCTTTCATGAGCCCTTTTTCTTCATGTCATCTTGCCTCCGCCTTCTCCCTCATCCAACCCTATTCCTTACTCCTCGTGTGTACCTTCCTCCGTTCCCTCCTCTCCCGCTTCCTCGTTCTCTTGCCTCCTGCCCTTTACCTCGCACATGCGCCCTCCTGCCCCCTCTATCCTCCTCACCGCCTCGGTGCTCCCCCCGTCATACCTCCTTCCTCCGCCCTGCCCCTCCCCGTCCCTCTCCTTGTCACGTTGCATCCCTCTGTCCTCCCTCTGCCCTCCTCCTCCTCCTCCTCCTCCTCCTCCTCCTCCTCCTCCTCCTCCTCCATCTCTCTTTTACGTCCGCCTCCCTCCGCCGTCCCTCTTCCCCACTCCCTCCTCCGCATTCGGCTCCTGCTATTTCCCGCCTTCCGCCACTCTACTCGTCCTGCCACCTCCCTCTATCTTGCCCCCTGGCGCCACGATCTTCCATTCGTATACCGGAAGCCCGACCCCAGGGGCCCCAGGCCGCAGCACACACGGGGCACCCAGAGTCCCCTGAGTGGCGCCTCCCCTCCCCAGGGGCCTCCCCGGAACCTTCCCCGAGCTTCCCCAGGAGGCTCCCAGAGCTGCGCAGAAGTTCCGAGAGGGCTCCACGACGGTCCCAGGAGGCACCCAGGCTGCCCGAAGTCTGCAGCAGTTCAAGGAGGCCCCAGGAAGCCGCCAGAGTGCCCGCACAGGACTTCCAAGAGGGCCAAGCCAGTCGCAAACCAAAAGGAAGCCCAACGTGTTTTCCTCTGTTTTCTGGAGTGCCCATTTGTTGCCAATGTGTGGCTCCAAGATGGCCTCGGAGGCCCAAGTGGTACGGAAGAATGTTGCAAATTTGCCCAAGGATCGTCCAGAACTGCCGCGAACACAAAGCCTCAAGGCGACTTCGGACACCAAGGCGTGCGTTTACAAACCAAGGACACGATCATCCAGACGGCCCCTCTGACGTGCTGTTCGCTTGGCCTCTTGGCAAGTAGAGCTTGAGCGCGCGCGCGACGCGCGCGCGATTGTTCGAGTGTGTAGAGACAGGTGTCCCTGTCTCTGTCACTATCTCCGCTCCTGCCTCCGTCTCCGTCTCTCTCTCTCTCTCTCTTTCTCTCTCTGTCACCCGCCTAGTCCGCGTCCTCCTTCCCTGCCGTTTCCTGTCTTCCGCCCTTGTTTCGTGTGCGTCCGCAATCACACAATGTGAGCACTACTCTCCTCTCTCCCCTGGTGACGTCCAGGACATGTTCGGCCCCCTCCGCGTTTTTTTTTTCTTTTCTTTTTTTTGTGTGCACACACATATATACATATATATTTATATATATATATATATATATATACAACACAGGATTCATGGCAGTTGGGTTTTCGTTTTTTAATGTTCTCTTTTTTCCTCAAAATGTTGCTCTCGCTGAAGCGCTGGCCTCATTTTCGCGTGCTACCCGCTCGTTCCGAATCTTGCTCTCGCTGCAGCGCTGGCCTCATTTCCGCGCTTCCGCTCGTTCCGAATCGTGCTCCCGCTGCGCTGGCGTCATGGTTTCCAGCGCCATGCCACGGCATGGTCTTCGGTCCTTCCAAATAGGCCCCAAAATGTAAAACAGTCCCCCCCGAAAAAAAACATCGGAAGTGATTCCACATTCGGTGTCGATTCGTTGATTTCTTGGGTCGCAGACGCCCCCCCGCTGGGGCGTCGCCACGCCATGCTATGTCAGGCTACGCGTCCTCCGAATCGCACTCCCGCTGCAGCGCTGGCCTCATTTCCGCGCTTCCGCTACTTCCGAATCGTGCGCCCGCTGCAGCGCTTGCGTCATTATTCCCAGCGCCATGTCACGGCATGGTTTTCGGTCATTCCACATAGGACCCAACATCAAAAAACGCCCCCCCCCCCCCCCCCCGAAACACCATCGGAAATTGTTACACATTCGGTGTCGATTCGCTGTTTCTTATGGCCCCCCCCAAAACCGGACTCCCGGGATCTGGGGCTTTGGGACCCTCCAGACGGGCCTCGAAGCGGCCCCCCGGGCCTCGCAGGGCGTTTTGCCAAGTCTTCCCAGCACACCTAGGGCGATCAGGGGGGTCATCGGAGACGTCCCAGAGACCCCCAAGGCAGCACAAGAGCGCTCCAAGAGTGACCGACGTGACCTCAAGATGGCCCAAGAGGCCTCCAGGACGGCCCCAAAGGCTTCAAAAAGCCCCCAAGAGCACTCCCAAGAAGGCCCCAAGAGGCAAACATGTTTTTTTTTTTTTGTTTTTTTGTTGTGTGTGTGTGTGTGTGTGTGTGTGTGTGTGTGTGATTTTTTGGGGTTATCTTTTTTTCGGCTTCCCGACGCTACAATAAAGCAGTCTTCTGGGCGTCCGAAGCCGCCTGGGAGGCTACAACATCGCCCCACAACCATCCGAAAGGTCTTCCAGGCAGTCCAAGAGATCCCCAAAACGGCACAACAGGGGCCCGTAGCCATTTTGTCTCAAGTCGTGGCTCAGACATCTTGTTTCTGAAGCCGCCTGCACGGATAACGGGATATTTCCGTGCTTGCCAGACGACCATTTCAAGTTAATTTTGTTTGTCATTCATCGCACGGCAGCGATGAGTCCTTGGCGCCTGATTGTCAGGCCGATAGTGCTTTGCGTGTGCTGGCTGGCTAGACCGTCCTGGGCGTCACGCTTCTTCTCAGGGTCTTTTCCTCCCTACCCTGCCTGCGACGCCAACTACAACGCCGCCTGCAGCCCGACCAACGCTTTCAAGGCTGTGCGGCAAGCTGTGTCCCAGCTGGAAGGCCTCACGACGGCAGGTGAGGTGGATGCCTGGATGCAGGCGCTGAACAGTAGTCAGTACGACAATGGCGTCGACGGTTTCGGATTCGGTCCCATGGTCATCTCGGCTGACGGCACGATGCTGGCCGATCCTGCGAATTCAGAGCTCAGTGGCAAGAGCCTGTCCGACTTGCTAACCTTGCAGAATGGCAGCTGCAGCCAAATCGAACTGCTGACAACAGGTTGTGCCAGGGTCGCCATGACGATCTTCCAGGAGGACCTGCTGGCGCAGTGGCGCGAGGCGCTCGAGGGGGACGGCTGGGCCGTCTGGGTCTGGACCAGCCGCTCGGCCGAGCCCAACGACAAGGGCACCGTTGTTCCCGAGAAGATGGTGGGGTACATCGAGAACTTGTCGACGCCGCTGGGGGAACTCTGGGTGATCTCGTCTTACTCCAACAAGCCCCTGGCATCTGGCTTCGCCTCCGACGCCACCTGCTCCGTGGCTTACAACGAGCTCTGCAGCGTCGAGCTGTCCCGGATGCTCGTGGGCGAGGGACTGTCCCAGATGATGATGGCCAGCACCCCGGGCGAGCTGGCGTGGGTCTTCTACGACATCACCTTCGAGGACAGATACCAGGCCGGCAGCGGCTTCTACATCTTCGTCTACCGCTTCGGGCCCGCGGGCAGCCCCGGCGAGCGCGGGGAGTGCGTGGCGCACGGGGCCAACAGCGGGCACGTGGGGCAGAACCTGCCCGAGATCCTGCTCAAGGTGAACAACCTCGCCGTGGACGGCCAGGCCCTGCACGACGCCTTCTTCACCGCCGCGGAGGACGGCGGGGGCTGGGTGTCCTACGGGTGGCGGAACAACCCCACCGACCCAGTGGGCTTCAAGATCGCGTTCATCGCAGGCACGGAGAAGTTCGGGGTCAAGTACTACTTGGGCGTAGGCTTCAATCACAACCACCCCGTGGTTGCCCCTGGGCCGCACTGTTCGACCTGCTCCATGACGAGCTCATACCAGTGCGCGATCCGCAACACCTACATGCTGATTGGGCACGTGCAGGCATTCCTTCTCACCGACGTGGAGCAGACTTCGGCATGGAATGCGCTGACGACCAGTCGCAACGACGACCTGGCCCTGGTACCCATGGACGGCAACGTGGAGGAAGCGGGGTACAAGTTCGGCGATGTTGGCGACCCTCACGCCTTCTACCCCTTTGTCTACGACTTCAACGGCTCTTGCGTGGCGCATGCAGCGAACGGTGCGCTTGTCGGCAGAACACTGTGGGAGATCCTTGAGTATGCCTCCATGAACCAGGAATGTGATGACACCAGTCTCAACTGTAACATCACGGCTGTTGACGGGTGGCAGCTCAACGAAGATTTCAAGAGTGCAGCCGCGGGAGGCGGCGGCTGGGTGAAATATGCCTGGCGCAGCAGTGTCAGCGACCCCGCCTTCGAGAAGGTGGCCTACCTTATCAAGATCTCGAAGTACGGCCGCGATTTCTACGCCGGCGTGGGGTACAACAACGTGATATGGAACCCAGAGAGCGCGCAGAACTGCGATGCAGAATTTGCGGGTACGTGCTCGGAGGATGCCGTGCTGGCTATCGTGGGCCAGATGACGGCGGCCATCAACAACGCTCAGGACCCAGCCGATCTCGACATGATCTTCGCCGAGGCCACCAATGGCACGGGTGATGAGTACCGTCGCTTGGGCGGATTCGTGGTGGAGGTGTACGACGAGAGTGGTGTTTGCATGTCGAACGGTTGCTATCCCGAACACGTGGGGCTGACCTTGGAGGGCATCTTCCTGAAAGTCGGCTCCAAGCTCCTGGGTGCCGACCAGTACGCCAGCCAGTATCAGTCGAGCTCGGGCGCTTTCTTCACTTACAACTGGCAGACGGAGAACATGGCCGCGCCCGTGGTGCGAAAGGCCTTTGCCCAGAAGGCGACCTATAAGCCCCTGGGCAGCTACACGGAGGATCATTATTACATCGTCAGCAGCTTCGTAGACGCCATCCCCCCCCCTCAGTGCACCAGCGACGCGGACTGCCCTCCCTCGGCCGCGTGCGCAGCAAACGGGCGCTGCCAGTGCCAGGCGGGCACGGTCGCGTCCTACAACGCCAGCGGCGCATGCGGAGCGGTGCATGGCTGCTCGTGCGAGACCCAGGACTACTCGATGACCTGCGACGTCAACCCCTGCCCGGTCGGCATGTTCGGCACCGCGTCGGGCGCGTGCCAGGCCTGCGACCCTGGCAAGTACGCCGATTCCGTGGCATCCAGCGAGTGCAGTGCGTGCGCCCCCGGGAAGTACCAGGACGAGTACGGCCAGACCGCCTGCTTCAACTGCTCGGCCGGCAGCGCAGTCAACGCCGGCGGGAGCACGGCGTGCGACGCTTGCGTGGAGGGCTGGTTCCAGGCCGGGGCAGGCGCCTCGCTTTGCGAGAAGTGCCCGCTCGGCTCCTTCTCCAACGACACCATGAACACGGAGTGCACCAGCTGCCCCGACCCCCGCGAGACCACCGTGGACCGCGCCGCGCTCTCGCAGTGGGAGTGCGTATGCGAGGCGGGGTCGTACCGCGCCGCGGGGCACTCCGCTGCGGACGGCGTGCACCAGCCGTGCCTGCCGTGCCCCGAGGGCACGGAGTGCAGCGAGGGCAACCAGGAGCCGGTCTTGTTGAGGGGCTTCTGGGCGGACGCGGGGGACTCCACCGACCGGGACTACTCGGTCTTCCGGTGCCGCGACGGACTGGAGTGCCCAGGGGGTCCCATGGGGACGTGCGCCAGAGGCCGCGAGGGAATCGGATGCGCCAACTGCCTGCCCAACCACCAGATAGACAAGGTCACTGGTGGATGCGACAAGTGTACGGGCTCCTCGCTGGTCCCGATACTGTTCATCATCGCCGTCGGGGTCGCTGGTCTCGTTGCGATGGCCTTGTACGCCAAGGTCGACGTGTCCAGGATCAACCTCAACACGCTGGCGGTGGGCATCTGCATCGGGCAGACGGCGGTGGCGGTGCAGGCCCTCTCGGTGTTCCGGGTCCTCGAGGTGAAGTGGGTCGAGCCGATCAGGAGCTTCTTGAACGTCGTGTCGGTGCTCAGCTTCAATCTGGATGTACTCGCGGTGTCCTGCATGTTTCCGGACTCGGACGCGCTTGGAAAGTACGTGCTGAAGCTGTTCATCTTCCCTACAGGGATCCTGCTGCTGTGCGCCATATTCTTCGTCATGAACCGGCTCTTCAAGCAGAACATCACGGTGGACCACATAATAAATTCCATTGGGCTCCTGTTCCTCGTGCTTTTCCTGACGCTGGCGATGCTGTCGCTCAGCCCATTCCACTGCGCCAGCAGCCCGAACGGCACGGTGTCCCTGGTTTCGAACCCGTCCGTGCTCTGCTCCTTCAGTAATGCTACCTGGACCGGGCTCGCCGTCTTCGGTGCGTTTGCCATACTTGGCTTCGTGGTTTTCTTCGCCGCCTGGGTGACGTGGGTCACGCTGCAGTACCCGAAGCTGATCTCCAACGGGAGCGGGATGCTCATCATCAATCGGTACCGCTTCCTGTTCCAGCGATTCACCGTGGAGTGCTATTTCTTTACGCCGATCTACCTGTCCCGTAACTTCGTCATAGCCATCCTGCCCGTAGCATTCGCAGACGACGGCCACCGCCAGGTGTTCTTGCTGGCCTGCGTGCTCATGGCATTCGGATTTGTGCAAGGCTGGCTCCAGCCATGGCGTGGGCTGATGCCCAACCTTCTGGACACCGTCACGACTGCTTGTCTCATCATGGCGCTACTGGGCGCTGCGCTCCTGCACGACGTCGACTACGACGCGGTGGTGGCAGACATGCAGGTGTTCTTCACCATCCTCATCGTGGTCATGTGCATCACGCTCTGTACGTTCGTCATGCTCTTGTCGTGGCGGCGCCTCTTCCCATCGAAGCTGTACGCCGCCTTCCTGTGCCACCACAAGCAGGGCTGCGCGGTGGGCGCGAGGCTGATGAAGCTGGAGCTGGAGCTCCGCTTGAAAAAGCAAGTGTTTCTCGACTCAGACGCGCTCAATAACCTCGAGGATCTCCTAGAGACCGTCCGCGCGTCGATTGGGACCTTGGTCGTGCTCCTCACGGCGGGCACGCTCTCTAGGCCCTGGTGCGCGGGGGAGATCGCCACGGCTTTCAAGAACGGGGTGCAGATTGTGCCCGTGGCGTATGATGATTACACGGAGCTCACGGAGGAAGACGTCAAGGAGGCCTCAATCGCCGCCCGCTGGTCGCCAGAGGCCTTTGGGCCGTGCGTGGCGCAGGGCGTGCTGCTCAGCGCCGTCGCGGATGCGTACGACCACGTCCGGCTCCTGCACAAGATTGCGTGCCCTCGGGTGGCTGCCTGCATGGAAGGCAACCCCGCGCTTGCCATGGACGCTGTGCGGCTTGTGGCGTCGCTCTGCCGCTCGAATGGGAAGAGGCAGATGACAGTCTCGCAGCTCGGCCTCGAGGACTCGAACAGGACCAGCGTCAGAAGCGAAGATTCCGAGAAGGAGCACCAGGGCGCTTCGGACGAGCTCGGCATGGCCGTGTCCTCCACCTCCAGCAGTGGGGGGATGACGGCACGTTCCAGCCACAGCGCGCAGCTGGACTTCGCGGTGCTGGCGAACTACACGTGCGGCGAGAGCATCTCCGCCGCCCGCGTGCTGTCGCGGCTGGTCCGCGGCAAGACCCAGATGCGCACCACCGATCTGCTGCACCCACGGGACGTGCAGGAGGCCAGAGCCCACAGCCCCACCCTGGGCTGCCTCTGCGTCCTGTTCACGCAGGACTGCCTCTCCTCGGAGGGCTTCCCGAAGACCCTCGTGGCGGGGCTCGAGGCGTGGGGCAAGGCGACGATCCTGACGGTGACAATGACCGGCTTTGCCTTCCCGACCAGCGAGGTGATGAGAATGTCTCTCGTGCCACAAGTAGCAAAGATACTCTCCGAGACCGAGGACAAGGTTACCAAGATCTACCAGAAACTGTTCTCGATCCTCGCATGCCCTTTCACTCCCAGCGGGCACATTTCGGTGCTCGAGGTAGAGGTGGGCGGCATCATTCGCCGCATGCGCTCCGACACGAAGCGTAACACCCATTCCAGCCTTGGCAAAGAAGGTCCTAAACACTGCAATGGGTCATCGTCGCAGGCGGCCTCTGGCGCCGACCTGGTGACCGATTCACTCTCTCCTGAAATTGGTGCCGATGGGCTCCCTGATGGGAACGAGTTCAACAGCGTTTCCTCGGACCACACGGAGCATCTATCTGTATAGTATGTGATGAGGCTCCCGCGGATGGCGACTTGATGCTGTAGGGAGGCTAGGGGTGAGAAGCGAAGACTACCACTACTCATCCAGAAGGTCTGGCCTTGAGCGCGCACCGTGCCCGACTTCTGCTGCCGACGCATGCTTCTGTGCTCAGCCTCCATGAGCTGTGCGTTTCCACGGGCGAGCTCCAGTCAGGCGTGCGTGCAGGCCGCCGCACAGGCCGTGGTCTCTCTGCGCGCTGCCTTGTGCAATGTTGCAGTCAGGCCAAGAAGGCAACGTCTTCGATGAGGCGAGGCGTGATTAATTAGTGAACGAGAGCACTGGCAGCCCAGCGCGTGCGCCACTATGGTATGTTGTATATACTTGCGCTGCCCATGCCCGTCGATGTCCAGCGTGCTCGCAGCTGGAACGGCGGTGCCTAATATGAAGCTAAGATTGAGCCCCACGCTGACCAGCCGCCGTGGCTCTTTGAGATTGGGGAGGCCAGTGGTCCCTCTCTGGCTGCCTCGTCCAGGTGTGATGGGTTGCAGCCCGTGCTTGTCCCCACTGGGGCGCTCACACTGTTTGAATGTCGCCCTTCCCATGGCTCTCTCTAGCTGGCGCTGCTCTGGTGGCCTCTGCTCTCCCCCCCTTCGTGCGCGCTTCACTCAGGCAAGGGAGCGATGCACAAAACGGGGTCGCCCGCGCCGACGCTGGCGCGCAAGCTGCCCGCGTAGGCTCGCGCGTAGGCGCCCTCGTCTCCAAGTGTGGCGTGCCGCGACGGCGGCCTGCGCAAGCCGCGGCGCTAGGCCGCTGTGCCGTCTCGCGTAAGACCCGCTCCCTTCAGTCGCGCAATGTGGCTTCCCGCGAAAACATCAACGCGGTCAAATTTCCCTCACCCGTCAAAATCAACGCGGTCAAATTTCCTGAATGCTGGTGCTGCTGAAAACTGCCGCCTCGCAATCTGCGCGCCACTGGGATGCCCGTCGCTGGGGCGCCCGTGACGGCCCGTCGTCATTGGCGCGAGGGCCGGCGCGTGCCCTCGGCCCTCCTCGCGGCCTGCACGGCCGCAGAACCTGGGTGACTGACGCTGCCTGTCCAAGGGTGACGGACGCTGCCTGTCAAGTTTTCGTGACTGACGGTGCCTCGCCCCAGTGTGGCACATCGCTCGCTGCTGTCCCAAACGTGATGGAGACCGAAGTGCCGAGATGCTGCCGGGATCCTGTGACCCGTGGGAGTTTCTGAAGGCCGCGAGGCAGCTGGAGCCAGTGTGTTTATGTACATTGCCTGACCTGGTTTTTGGTCTTGCGTTTGAACGGCTGCGGCTGCTTATGATTGTCCCTTGTCGTATTGTACCCAGTGTTGCTTCTGTTCCTTATCCTTCTTGTCGACCCCTCGACGCCATCCGGGTCCTCCCTCCTCTTCCTGCTCCTCCTGCTTGCTCGCCTCTCCCGCGGACCTCGGCCGAGGGAGTGCTCTCCGACTCCCCTCGCTGGGGATGTGCCACATACTCCTACCTGCTACAGCGTGCTGGCGCGCGCGTGTTAGAGCGCCCGAAAAAAACGGCACAACAGGGGTCAAACATTGCCCTAAGAGAGCCCTATGGCGGCCCAAGACGGCCCCAAGACACCCTCCGAAGCATTCCAAATCGTGACCCGGTCGTTCAGGGAGACCGCTGTTGGAGGCAGGGTGGCCCGAGGAAGCTCCCAGAACCTCCAGAACACGCCCAGGAGACTTCCAGAAGGCCTTCAGAAAGCCTGAGACTTTTGTGAGGCCCCCAGAGGCTCTCCAAGGAGTACCCTCCGCAAAGAGAGCTGAGGAGAATGCGCAGGGTATGGCGAGAATGAGAAAAAAGAAGCATGGAGGACGTATAACGAATAACATTATTTTAGCGGTGATGCTGGAAAAGGCAACAAGGAGTTATCGCTATATTGTCGGCTTGACCTTCCTGCCATTCCGCTTGCATACCAAACTTCAAGGACCAGAGTGCACGGCGCGAAGCGCCACTGCAGTCTTGTATATCTATATATATATATATAAACAATTCACCCTATCGCACACCGATGCTGGTCTGTCGGGCGGGCAGGGCGTTTCGCCTGAGACTTCCTCACCGTTTGTGATCCTGAAGCTTGAGAGTTGCAACAGTTTCACGAATGGAGGGCGGGCCGTTTTCAAAATGTGCCTATCGCGTTAGCGCCGCGCACATTCGTTTTAAACACTTACAGGAGTTTCACGGATGGAGGGCGGATGCCTTTCAGCATATGGTTCTCGCCTCAGCGCCGTGCACATTCGTCTTTCATTTTCAAAGATGAATGGCGGGCTGTTTTCAAAATGTGGCTCTCGCCCCAAACGCCGCGCACATTCGGTTTGATCGTTTGCAGCAGCTTCACGGATGGAGGGCGGATGATTTTCAAAATGTGGCTCTCGCTTTAGCGCCGCTGGCTTACAACTGTTTCAAGGATTCTTCTGGCTGACGTCCCAGACTTTGTGTATGGGCACGATTTGTGTTTGCCAGGGCGGGACAGTTGCGGTACTGACATCCCAGAAACCGTGTTCTGGGACGATTTAGGTTCGTCAGATCGCAGCAGTAACGTTCATTCGCGGCGTTGTCGTCCCAGGAATGGTGTTTTGGCATGGTTGATGATTTTCAGGCAATTGTCTTTTAGCGTGGTGCTTCCCGCAGTGCAGATCTACTTCAAGAGCCTATGAAGAGGGAACTTGGCGGGAGAGTTTATTGCAACATCGTTGATGAGCCTTGGGTTGGCACTGGTCCTCCTCCTTCTCCTTCTCATCTGCCTCCTGGGTGACGCTCTGCCTGCTCCTCCTGTTGCTGTTGCTGTTGGCCCCCCCCCCCCCGGCTGGAGGCCGCGAGCGACGACGGGGAGGAGATCGACGAGTTCAAGACGGTGAAATCGAAGAAACAGCTGAAGGCGGCGCGCGCTTCGCGGGGCGGAGCGGCCGAGCTCCGTGCTGCTCCGGCGCACGGCAGCAGAGGGGGAAATGAACTTTGGGGGGTCGAGGATTTCATGGAAGGGGCCCCAAGTCTTCCCTGAACTGCTTCCGCGGGTCCAGAAACGGGCGCAAATTGCGCACGTTCCTTCACCCCACCCCCTGAGCTGCCTCGAGACGCCCGTCTTGAGACGCAACACGCACCGTGCTCAAGACGTCCATGTCAACACGCTGCGTATTGGCTCAGCGTGTTAGCCCACGTTTTGGCGAACGTGCTGCGCCAGGCTTACGTTTTCAGCGTACGTGCTGAGCTCCGAGTCGACGGTCTGCGTGTTGCGTGTTGCATCTGACGCTGATGGTGGCGCTCACAGGCGGGTGCTGTGATGACGAAGGCCCCCGAGCATCTCGAACACAAATCGAAATTACCCGAGGGGGGGGGGGGCCGGTGGGCGGGGGGCGACGTCCTTCTTGTAGGCGTACTTGTCCAGGTGGTTGTGCTGGGACTCCTCGGATGATCCTGGCGGCTGGGTAGACGGGACCCCGGCGGCCCGTCGAGGCTCGGCGCCTGCCGAAACGAAGTGGACGAACAGCACCATGGTGGAGCAGAATGTAGAGCGGGTCGGCGTAGACGTCGGTGTAGAGCGAATGCCAGGGGCGCGAGGGTGCCGCGCAGGCCATGGCGGCTGTGGATCACGGAGCATCGTGCTCCGCTACGAACTAGAAACGCAAAGTGGATAGTGAACGAGAGTTTCTATCTAGCGGGTGCACAGCGATGTGTCCAAACACTATAGAGCGGGCGCGGTGCCCGGCCAGGCTTGATCCAAACACCCATGGCCAAACCCTGCCAAGCCGCTTCCCTGCTTTTCTACAAGTACTGACGATCTACCGTACGAGTCTGGTGCTCAAGCGGGTCCGCCTTGGTGTCCACGAAGTCGCCTTGAGGCTTTGTATTCGCGGCAGTTCTGGACTATTCTTGGGCAGTGTTGCAACTTTCGTCAGTACGAGTTGGCCCTCCGAGGCCACCTTGGAGCCACACGTTGGCAACAAATGGGCGCTCCAGAAAAAATATAACATGTTGGGTTTCCTTTTGGTTTGCGACTGGCTTGGTCCTCTTGGAAGTCCTGTGCGGGCACTCTGGCGGCTTCCTGGGGCCTCCTTTAACTGCTGGCGACTTCGGGCAGCCTGGGTGCCTCCTGGGACCGTCGTGGAGCCCTCTTGGAAATTCTGGACAGCTCTGGGAGCCTCCTGGGGAAGCTCGGGGAAGGCTCCAGGGAGGCCCCCGGAGGGGAGGCGCCACTCAGGGGACTCTGGGTGTCCCGTGTGTTGTGTGCTGCGGCCTGGGGTCCCTGGGGTCGGGCTCCCGGTATACGAATGGAAGATCGTGGTACCAGGAGGCAAGATAGAGGGAGGTGGCAGGACAAGTAGAGTGGTGGAAGGCGGGAGTTGGCGGAAGCTAAATGCGGAGGAGGGAGTGGGGAAGAGGGACGGCGAAGGGAGGAGGCGGACGTAAAAGAGAGATGGAGGAGGAGGAGGAGGAGGAGGAGGAGGAGGAGGAGGAGGAGGAGGAGGAGGAGGAGGAGGAGGAGGAGGAGGAGGAGGAGGAGGAGGAGGAGGGGGCCAAACAGGCGAGGCGGGAATTGCGGTGGCCATCTGGCAGGCGGGGCGACACGGCGAGGCTCGGGGGCAGTTGCCGCGGCGGCCCGGGAGGTGGCAGGCACATCGGGTGTGCGCGGACGGGGCCGCCATGAAAGGGGGGCGAACGACTTCCACCCCGAGTTCTCAGCAAGTATGTTGCGAAAATGGGGGGGGGGGGGCGCGTGCAGGCAACAGCGGGAATGCAGAGGATGGTCGGGCAACTATGTTGCCATTCTCCCGGAGGACCGTTGCGCAAGCTTGGGGTTTATCGCTATCAGTTCTGTGGGATGTGACCTTCAATGTTGCCAGCTCGCTCCCCGTTTCTAGCAGACCTGGAGCCGCATGCGTACTCCTTAGGATGATCGTGCAGTTGGCAGTGCCCAGTGCAGTTACCAAGCGACCCGCGGCGAGTTCTCTCGCCACTATGCGGCGGGGTGCTCCGAGTGCAGTCCGCGCGCCAATCGCACGACAGAAGAGAAGACCCAATGCGCTGATGAGGAGGGGCGCGCCAGGGACAGACACCCACGATGGCTTCGAGGATCGCTACCAGAACCCCGCCGCTGCTGGGTGCCAGGACTGTCGCTCCTCCTCGACGCCTGGAGGGGCTCCGCTCTGGACGGGGTGCCTTCGGAGTAGGCCTGGTTGCTGCCATCAGCTTCGTCGCCAGCGCGGGCTCGGGCGGTGGCGGCGGCGGCGACGTGAGGTGGTGATCTGGCCCTTGGCGAACTCACGGACCTCAGCGAGTTTCGCCAGTCGGCCCACGTCTCTTCTCGCTCGACCTGCATGGCTCGCGAGTGCGTGGACGAGTGGCCGCCGGCTGTTCTTGTCTAAGGTGGTCATATCAATGGCAACCCAGTGCCGCTCATGACCTAGCTCACGCGCAGCATGGCCGAACGGCGGGGCCAGCTCGGAGGGGGGGGGGCGCGCGCAGGCGGTATCGGCTCCGATGAACTTCAACCGTTTACCGCAGAAGCGCATCGACAATCTCTTCGCCAGGTTCGACACCTTCCGCAACAGAGCACACCAGGCTGGTCGACTCATGTTCGGGCCTCAGCCACCTCTCGCTGCGCGCCGTGATCCTGCAGCGCCACGACATGGCCTGCTCGGCGGACGCACCGCAGCTGGCACGCGTGATTTGCCAGCTGCGCAGGTTTGGACATGGGGTCGACGGTCCGCCAGGCAATCTCGCCTCGGCCGTGCCTTCGCCCTGGCGCCAAACGTACCTCGCGGGTGCGCCCGCGCGCGATCGGGGTCAGCGTGCCTGTGGCGCTGGGGCCGGATTGAGTTGGGGTGGCATGGGCCCTTCAGCCCGCGGAGCGGCAACCCCGCCAGCGGCGCCAGCTGCTGCCAAAGCCGACGCATCAGCAGCGCCGCACCGCAGGCGGCATGTCCAGCTTCAGGTTTCGACTCGGCTACCGACTCTGACGCCGTCAGCTGACTTGGCGCAGAAATTGCTGCCGACGGCCCCGAACTGTGCGATGTCATGGGGCAGCGCGGCGCGCATTTCTCCTGGGTTTACGGGCGCGCCGAGGCCCGATGGCGCCGCTTCGGCAACGACAGGCCCGTGCGTCGCGTGCAGAGGGCCATCGAGCGGAAGGGCGGGGGCCGCGGAAAAGGCTGCCGCGCCCTCCTGGCCGACCTGTCTGACAGCGACCCCCGCGAAACCTTTGCTGGCTTCGGGGGGGGGGGCGGGGGTGGGGGGGCGGGCGTGCGCCGGACTGGCGGGCTCGGCTTCGGACGACATGGCAACGCGCTGGGCCCAGACGGGAGGCGTCGCGCGAACCGCGAGAGCGACTCAGATGAGCACCTCGTGCGCGACTGTCCGCGCCGGCGCTGGCAGGGGCGCGCGCTCCTCCTCGGCGCCGCAGCCTCAGCGGCGGCGCCGCCGCCGACGCCGGCATCCTCGCCATTTGCGCGCCTGGGTCACCGCGGAGCGCCTGGGCCAGCCGCCCAGCAACCAGCGCCAGGTGCCTATTCGTTCTGG